CACTATTTCTTCTTCTTCTCACATTACCCGCTTGATTTCCTCATGCCATTTGTGAATATCTAAATTACCATTGTTTTCATTAATCTTCCCCACTCGAATATCAGCTCCATAATAGCAGGGAGTGTGTCTTTATGTTCACTGCTGTATTTCCAGTGCCTAGTTCAGTACCTGGCACACAGCAGGCACTCAATAAACACATTCTGCTCTCATAATATTTGCTTATGACCTTCACTAATCTTCTCTTCAGTTGTGCCTAATCGGTTGTTAAACCTATCCACTGAGTTCCTAATTTTTATTACTGTATTTTTCAGTTCTAGAATTTCCATTTGGTTCTTCAGTTCTTTTCTATAATGTCTAGTTCTCTCTCTCTCTCTTTTTTTTTTCTGAGATACAGTTTCGCTCTTGTTGCCCAGGCTGGAGTGCAATGGCTCAATCTCAGCTCGCTGCAACCACCATCTCCCAGGTTCAAGTTATTCTCCTGCCTCAGCCTCCCCAGTAGCTGGGATTACAGGCATGGGCCACCACGCCTGGCTAATTTTGTATTTTTAGTAGAGACAGGGTTTCACCATGTTGCCCCAGCTGGTCTTGAACTCCTGACCTCAGGTAATCCACCCGCCTCAGCCTCCCAAAGTGCTGGGATTACAGGCATGAGCCACCGCGCCCAGACTAACTTCTAGTTCTCAATCTTGTCCAGTGTCAATCTTGTCCTGCTGCTCAGGAGGCAGAAGAGGAGAATGTCTTCTAGCATAGTAAGCATAGTTAGCTGAAAATTTAATTGATTATCCCATTGTCTGGACCTTTTGTTTAACTTTCTATTATCTGTTTCTTCTTTTTGGTCATGTTGTCTTCCATTTCTTTGAGGGTTGGGCTGTTGTTTCCTGTTTATTCTCACTCCCCATGGTCCAACCCAAAACCTAGTGGGGGGAGTCTCTCAGGGCTCCCCTTTCTTAGGGGATCTAGAACTATAGCTTTTCTCCCATCCATTTGTAGGCATATGAATATGAGCTCGGCTCAGTTTCTCAGCTGTCCCCTCTGGAAGTGGCAAATTCTTTTAGGAGAAGAGCAGCTCCAAATAAAGGGCTTGCTTCTCTCAGCCCCTTATTTCTTTTCTGTATTAATAACCGTTCAGTACTGACTCTACTGTTGCCCCATAATAAATATGTACTGGATGAATAAATGCAGGACTACTAGCTCCGAGGCAGGAATAGATAGAGATGCATTAAATGCAGTCATTCTTCCCTGACATCTACTCTGTGCCACATTCTGTGATGTGCTGAGTAAGAGAAGTGACGAAACCTAGTCCCAACCCACAAGGGACAGACCACATTCTTGGTAGACACAATATTTAGAACAGAGGTCAACAGAAAGGGCCCTTCTAATGTTTAGGAACAACTCCTCTCTTTGAGTTACCTAGAGCAAGTGAAAAGTTTTCTTGGGGAAGGGGCTTCTGAGCTAAATCTTGAAGAATAAAGAAGAGTTTGCAGTTTGGGCAACATAAACATAGCAAGACTCCATCCCCCACCACCCCAAAAAGTAGCTGGGCGTCGTGGCATGCACCTGTATTCCCAGCTACTCAGGAGGATGAGGCGGGAGGATTGCTTGAGCCCAGGAGTTCAAGGTTGCAGTGAGCTATGATTGCACCACTGTACTCCAGCCTGGATGACAAGGGCAAGAACCTGTCTCGAGGAAAAAAAGAAAAAGAGTTTTCTAGGTAAATAACTGGAGAAGGGCTTTCCTTGCAGAGGAAATACATGGACTAAAAGACACTCCTCAGAGCTGAAACTTTCCTCAGAGGTGAAAATGAAGCTTCTGAGGTTTGCAAGCAAATGTTTACAAATATGAGTCTGGCATTTAGCATCCTCTCATGCATCTCCAGCAGGGAGACTGGCTGGCTGCCTCTTTGTCAGAGGGTAGAAGATCGCACAGTGTGATGGAGCTAATTTTCAGCAGACTAATCTCAGACTTCAACATGGGTATCCTGTCTCCTGGACCAGTGCCCTCTGGCACCGGCCACCTCCTGGCTCCTATGAACCCCAGAATCACCCACCCCCACCAACCCTAGAATCAGCAGCACATCAAAGGCAGCTGAGAACTTGAGTCAAGGGTGAGAAAAGACCTTTGGGTGAAGGAGCAGAGATGGGGGCAGGGAATGGTGGGTGGCTGGGGACTCCTCCTTCTTCTCTCCCTCCCTGCCCGCCCCTCCACTTCCTGGCTTTCTCTTACCAGTTTTGACTCTCAATTCTTCTCTCTCTCTTTTTTTTTTTTTTTTTGAGGTGGAGTTTTGTTCTTGTCGCCCAGGCTGGAGTGCAATGGTGCGATCTCAGCTCACTGCAACCTCTTTCTCCTGAGTTCAAGCAATTCTCCTGCTTCAACCTCCCAAGTAGCTGGGATTACAGGTGTCTGACACCATGTCCAGCTAATTTTTGTATTTTTAGTAGAGACGGGGTTTCTACTAACCCTGACCATGTTGGCCAGGCTGGTCGTGAACTCTGGATTTCAGGTGATCCACCCGCCTTGGCCACCCAAAGTGCTGGGATTACACCCGTGAGCCACCGTCTGGCCCTCTCAATTTTTCTTTTTTTTTTTTTGAGGCAAGGTCTTGCTCTGTCTCCCAGGCTGAAGTACAGTGGCACAATCAGGGCTTATTGCAGCCTGGACCTCCCAGGCACAAGCAATCCTCCTGTCTCAGCCCCCCAGGTAGCTGAGGTATAGGTTTGTGCCACTATGCCAGGCTAATTTTTCTTTCTTTTCTTTTTTTTTTTTTTAGAGATAGGGCCGCTCTATGTTGTCCCAGTGGTCTCAAACTCCTGTGCTCAAATGATCTGCCCGCCTCGGCCTCCCGAAGTGCTGGGATTGCAGGCATAGCCTCCATGCCCGTCTCAGGTTTTTTCTTTGGACCTGGCCTTAGCCAGGTCTTCCCTGGGCTTGCAACACATGGCCCAAAACAATAGAATAGAAGTGAGGGGAGTTTTCCCTTTACTACGTAGCATGTCAATGAGGCCTAACATAGACTAAGGAAGGGAGAGTTCGAAGACAGAGTGGGCCTCAGTCGGGCTGCAGTTACCAACTCCTGGGGCCTGAAGGGAGTTGGTATAGGGGAGGGGATGGGAATGGAGGGAACCAAGACTTAATGGGTGAATTCTAGGGCAGCCCCAGAGGTTTCATACAAGGCTGTGGCTTCAGACAGACTTGGATTCAAGGTCAAGTGAGACTAGCTTCACCATTTATGACCTTAGCAAGTCACTTAACATCTAAGCTTCAATGTTTTCACTGGTCAAATGGGGATAAACAGAGGGAACCACGGAGGAAATCAAGTGAGAGGATGCATAAAGCATGGAGCACTGTCCAGGCAGCTTTGGGTCCCTCTCACCCCTCACCCTTTACTGCGCCCTCACATCCACTCCCTCACCCCAGTCCCCTTCCCCTGCAGATTAGTCACCTGCTTGTCTCCTCCCTAGCTCCACTCCCATTCATCCTCAGCTGATAAAAGCAATCCATCTGCTCGAGACTTTCTCTACCCAATTCACAAAACACTAGGTCTTGGCTGGTCGAGGTGGCTCATGCCTGTAATTCCAGCATTTTGGGAGGCCGAGGTGTGTGGATCACTTGAGGTCAGGCATTTGAGACTAGCCTGACCAACATGGCAAAACCCTGTCTCTACTAAAAATACAAAAATTAGCCGGGTGTGGTGGCTCGAACCTATAATCCCCGCTACTCAAGAGGCTGAGACAGGAGAATCACTTGGGAGGCGGAGGTTGCAGTGAGCCAAGATCACACCACTGCACATCAGCCTGGGCAACAGAGCAAGACTCCATCTCAAAAAAGAAAAGAAAAGACAAAAAAAAGAAACCCCATCTCTACTAAAAAAAAATATATATATATATATCCTGGGTTCCAGCAATTATCGTGCCTCAGCCTCCCAAGTAGCTGGGACTACAGGTGCATGCCACCATGCCTGGCTAATTTATTTTTTATACACAAAATAAATTATAAAATTTATTTTTAACCCGATGCCTCTGGGTTGACCTCTCTCCTATCTCATAGGATCTGGCCCTCTCCCTCAGCCAGGGCCTTAGAACCTAGGGCCTGGTATCATCCACCCCCAGATCTGCAGAAAGGAAGCCACGCCCCTCCACCACCTTGTAGGACCTCCTTCCTCTCCCTACCCCACCCCGCCTGTGTATAAAAAATAAATTAGCCAGGCATGGTGGCATGCACCTGTAGTCCCAGCTACTTGGGAGGCTGAGGCAGGATAATTGCTGGAACCCAGGAGTGGAGGTTGTAACAAGCTGAGATAGTGCCACTGCACTCCAGCCTGGGACAGAGTGAACTCTATCTAAATAAAATAAAATAAAAGCACACAAACAAAACGCTAATTCTTAAGAAACTTCATAAATAATCTATTTCAGTCTTCCCAATTCTTGAAATGAGGAACTGAGGACTAGAGAAAGCCCAGCTAAAATGTGGGCTTCCTGTTTCCTAACCCCCAGCACTTTCACAGAACTCTACCATCCCTTCTACAATCTAAATACTCCCCAAGCCTTCATTCAGAAGCTGCAGTCCATCTGCAACCTTCCCTTGAATCCCAACTCTATCCCAACCTTTCTCCTTCAGCTCCTATCCCTACCCCAATCTTCTCTAAACAACAAACTCATTTATGGAATTTTGCTGGCTTTTAAAAAATGTGTTATTATTACATGTAATCCAGCAGTTCTTTTGTTAAAGGGTAAGAGAGGTAGAGTTTCTGGCCCAGGGTTTCAGAGTTGGTCAGTGATTAAACTGGAATTCAGCCTGCAGGATGCATGACTCCAAGCCTCGGGCCCTACTTACTCCCACCGATGCCTCTGGGTTGACCTCTCTTCTATCTCATAGGATCTGGCCCTCTCCCTCAGCCAGGGCCTTAGAACCTAGGGCCTGGTATCATCTACCCCCAGATCTGCAGAAAGGAAGCCACGCCCCTCCACCACCTTGTAGGACCTCCTTCCTCTCCCTACCCCACCCCGCCTCTCCTGCCTCCTGGTTCAAAAGCAGCCACGCCAAAAGAGGCCTCCAGAGAGCCCTGAGATCATCTCAAAAGCTGCTACAAGGACAGCCACCAAGATCCTTCCAAAATGAAGCACTTCCTCTTCTTCCTCCTCACCATCAGCCTCCTGGTTATGGTACAGGTAAGAGCAACCTGTGGCAAACTCCCCAAAGTTGCTTGGCATGGAGGGGGAGCATACAGGATGTGAGCTGGCAGAGCCCCCAGCCTTCTCTCCTGGGAGCACAGCAGATGGACTCCAACAGGAAAATCAGGGACACAGGGGGCTTGACCACCTAGCCTTTCAGCTCTTCCGGCTGGGGCTGGACTGCTTGAGGGCTGCCCTGATAGAAACCTGTATCCATAGCTGGGGAGCACTTACAGGGTGCCAGGCGCATTGGGGCACCCAAGGGGTGCTATGGAATAATAGGGAACTAAGAGAATTGGGAAGACAACCCTGAGTGAGGAAGGCATCAGCCCACAGGGAGTCTGGGAAGATGATCCTTTGGGGAGAGGCCAGGAGATGCCCAAGGGGAGGCTGCTCTGGTTCTAGAGGTGACAGGGGACACTCCAACCGCCACTCCCATGCCAGAGAGAAGCCTGGATGTTTGGGAATGCAAAGAAGACAGAACTCTCCCACTTCAGAAACAACTGGAGTCTCAAAAGCAACTGCTATTCCAGGAGGCAGCTTTCATAGAATCCCAGGTGCCCAGAGGGTAGTCAGTACAGGAGACAGGAGCCATCAAGTTCTTGATCAAGAACAGCTTGATCACCATCAAGACCAGCTTAATCTCCATCAAGAACAGCTCTAGTTGAAGCTCCGTCGAGCATTAAGGACAGCTTGATTACCATCTGGGCATTTTCCCATCCCACATCCAGCCACCCACACTTTGCCAAGTGCTTTCTCACTCGGCCCCAGCTCATGTGACCTTCACAACTGGGATGAACTTCTCCCCACTCATAAGAGGAAAGAGGCTCAGGGAAGCTAAGCCCTTTGCCAGGCTAGGAAGGTCAAGGGCTAGGGCCCCCTGTCTCCCTCTCTGCCAGAGGGGCTGGTGGCTGGGGAGAGGTGAAAAGAAAGGTTCTGTAGCCGGGCATGATGGCTCATGTCTGTAATCCCAGCATTTTGGGAGGCCGAGGTGGCCGTATCACCTGAGGTCAGGAGTTTAAGACCAGCCTGGCCAACATGACGAAACCCCATCTTTACTAAAAATACAAAAATTGGCTGGGCGTCATGACGGGTGTCTGTAATCACAGCTACTTAGGAAGCTGAGGCAGGAGAATCACTTGAACCCAGGAGATGGAGGTTGCAGTGAGCCGAGATCGAGCCACTGCACTCCAGCCTGGGCAACAAGAGGGACACTCCAACCTAACAACAACAAAATAAGGTTCTGGGAAAGGGGCTGGGCAGGGGCAGTGGCCACCTGTCCCTGCGTGTGTCAAAGCAGGAAGCAGCCAAACATCTGACAGGACCTTGTAGAAGAAAGAACTGAGGACCGTTTTATGGATGTGGGTGGATGGAGGGCAGGAGGGTAGAAGGGGGAGTGCATCTTTAAACAACAAACAGGAGATCTAAAAGTCCCTTGAGGGCCAGGCACCGTGGCTCACACCTGTAATCCCAGCACTTTGGGAGTCTGAGGCGGGTGGATCACAAAGTCAGGAATTCGAGACCAACCAGACCAACATGGTAAAACCCCGTCTCTACTAAAAATACAAAAATTAGCTGGGTGTAGTGGTGCGTGCTTGTAGTCCCAGCTACTCAGGAGGCTGAGGCAGGAGAATCGCTTGAACCCAGGAGGCGGAGGTTGCAATGAGCCAAGATCATGCCACTGCACTCCAGCTTGGGTGACAAAGTGAGACTTCATCTCAAAAAAAAAAATTAGCCAGGTATGGTGGGTGCAAGCCTGTAATCCCAGCTACTCAGGAGTCTGAGGCAGAAGGATCTCTCGAACCAGGGAGGCGGAGGATGCAGTTAGCTGAGATCTCACCACTGCAATCCAGCCTGGGTGACATCAAGACTCCACCTCAAAAAATAAAAATAAAAAAGTCCCCTGAGCTTATCCCACTTCTCCTGCAGATACAAACTGGAGTGTTGGGAAACAACGCCACCAGCCAGAACAGCAGCCCTGCCCCATCATCAGCCAGCAACATAAGCGGAGGCGGTTTCCTTTTCTTCGTGGCCAGCACCCTCATCCACCTCTTCTGTTTCAGTTGAGGTGACACGTCTCGGCCTTAGCCCTGTGACCCCTGAAACAGCTGCCATCAGCAACGTGCAAGAGAATCCCCTTTCATCCTTGGGAGGGATTGATGCCAGACATCACCAGGTTGTGGAAATTGACAGGCAGTGCCATGGGGGCAACGGCCAAAATGGGGGGGTACTAATGTAGGGGCCAAGTACCACCCAGCTGGAGATCAATAAAGTTACCCTTGTACTTGCAGTGGGGTCCTACGTGTGGTTACTGGACATCCCTATGCCCCAAGAGCCAGCTGTGGGGCAGTACCAGAGAGCTTCCCATGCCCCCATCAGAAGGGAAGTTGGCACCAGGGAGCAGCCCCCAGCTTCCCTACCTAAATTCCAACACTGAGGGCCCCTCCCCTTAGAAGCACATCACAGGGAAAAGGCCCGGAATCTGGCATCCTCACCAACCCCTGCAGTCGCATTTGTTTCACCCATCCCTGGGTGTTTGGGAATGATGGTTCCAGAGATGCCACCACCCTGGACATCCCAGGCTCAGAGCCCCTACCCAACTACCTAGGTATCTTCAGAATGACAGGCCCAGGGAGATGCCCAGTCCCAGGGACACCCCTCAACATGGTCTTTAGATCCCCGGCAAAGCAGCTCCACAGGCATCTGGGGCTGGAGAATGATGATGGGTGGCTGTTTACCTCCCATGCTGGCCCAGTGGCTAGGAAGGCAGGAAGGGCAAGCAGCTGCTCTGACCGCTCCTACCTCCTGGGTTTGTGGCGTCGGAAGTGGATGCTGCAGAGGTGGATGCTGCAGAGATGGAAGGGAGCCCCAGGGTAGCCCCTAAGGTACCCTCCCACCTCAGCTTCTTTGAGGACATCCAGGGACAGAGGGAGCTCCTCCTCTTCTACGCCTTTCCCTCTCTGAGCCAGGTTAGAGACTCAGACGCCCTGTCCTGGCTTTTCTAAGACCAGAGTTGGGGTGAGTGCAGCAGAGCCCTGGGGGCATAGCCCTTCAGGGTGTGGCTCACACTCATCTCCTGTGCCTGGCCCACTGTGCCCCCATCACATTAACCTCCAGGTTTTCACCCCTGGACTTGTATGCAGTTGCATTTGTTTCACCCATGGATGTGAAGGGTAAGGTGGGATGTTTCACTCAAGAATAGGCCTAGAATATTCTTCCTCTGCCTCCTGGAGACTGGCCAACTCCTTCCTATCCTGACATCTCAGCTATGGGTCCCTCCTCCAGGCAGCCTGCCCTGCATGCCTGGTGGGGTGATGTTCCTGCTGTGTGAGTCCCTCCACTTCTTTTCTCCCTTCTCATGGATGCATCATCCTACCTGTCATGATCCTCAACGGGACTGTGACCGAGAGGCTCAGTTTGTGTCTGAGCCCACACAGCCCAGGGCCACGCCTGGCTCAGAGCCAGCTCTAGCAACACATCATTTGGGTGGCTGCGCAAGACTACACTCCCCAGTTCGTCTGGTCCCAGGGCGCCCTCTGATGGCAGAGGGAGGCCTAACATCTGAAACCCAAAGCTGGATCCTGGAGGGACCTGAGCGCATCAGGGAAGCAGGCCGGTGAACAAATCCCCACCCCACCCCAAAATATCAAGGTGCACAGAGACGAGGACACCTAGCAACATATTAGAAAATAGCTTATGTTACAACAAAAACCCTATAAAAACATTCATCCCAGCAAAAGCCTCCAGGGCTAGAGGATAACGGGGAAAGGTTCAAAGCACATGGATGGTCCAAATCTGGGACACCCTGTTCTTGTCCGGCTCCCATAGCACCACGTGGTCCCGGTCGTAGCCCCGGCCTCCTGGGGGTGGGATAGGGATTAAAAGATAGGGAGATGGTCAGAGAGAGCTGGGGCTCCACAGCTGTCAGCCCCCTCAGGAGTCCTCTTCCCCACACATCCCACCTTACCCTTCACATCCAGGATCTGGCCTTCGAACATCTGGCTGCAGATGTGGCCCGATTCACTGATGCTCCATGTCTGGCGTGGTAGGCGGCTCTCAGCCCACAGCACCACCTTGGAGCCTGGGCTAGGGGGTCCAATTACCTGCAGGCTCATGGTGGGGGCCATCTGAGGCCCGGGGAGGTCATCAGGCATTGTTCCTCCCACAGGGACTCCACCATACGCAAGAAACCCTTGACACATCTGCTCCGAATCCTGGCTCTTAGGAACTGTGGCCCTGGGCAAGCCTCTTAATCCTCCTCAGTTTCCTTGGGGATGGGAATCCCCAAATGCTGGCTTTTGTGAGGGTTCAATGTGAGAAAACATAAAAGGGCTGGAAAAACATTAACTCCTCCAGGAATCCTTCCACGATTGGTTTATAGCATCCAAAGCATAGGTTTATAGCATCAGACAAATCTCTACACATTTACTGTCTGTGTGATTTCCAGCAAATTACCTAATCTCTCTGTGCTCTGATTTCCTCACCTGTAAAATGGGGAGTATAAAAAGGCCTGCCCCATGATATTCTAGACTAAGGATGACAGGAGGCATTTGTGTGAAGAACTCAATGCAGAGCCTGGCATGTGATCAGCCATCTCTCTGATTCTAGGTAAAAGACAAAACCTCTCAATGGTCTACAAAGACCTACAGTCCCCATAACCATTCTGGTCACATCTCCTGCTACCTCCCCTCACCCAACTCACCCAGCTAGTCTTGCTAGCCCAGAAAATCACAGGCATGTTTCCTCCCCAGGGCCTTTGCACTGGCTGTTCCCTCTGCCTGGAACACTCTTCTCTCAGATATCTGCACAGCTACCTCCCTCAAAAGTCACCTTCTCAGGAAAGACTCCCATCCATATCACACCTGATACTTCCTATTTTCCTTTTTTTGGTGGGGGGAGATGGATTCTCACTCTGTCGACCAGGCTGGAGTGCACTGGCATCTCAGCTCACTGCAACCTCCACCTCCAGGGTTCAAGCAATTCTCCTGCCTCAGCCTCCTGCGTAGCTAGGATTACAGGCGTGTCCTGGCTATTTTTTGTATTTTTAGTAGAGACGGGATTTCACCATGTTCGTCAGGCTGGTCTCGAACTCCTGATCTTGTTATCCATCCACCTTGGCCTCCCAAAGTGCTGGGATTACAGGTGTGAGCCACGACGCCCAGCCTTTCCTTTTTTTTTTTTTGACAGGGTCTCCCTTTGTTGCTCAGGCTGGTGTGCAGTGGTGTGATCATAGCTTACTGCAGCCTCAATCTCCTGGGCTCAAGCAGTCCTCCCTAAGCCTCCTGAGTAGCTGGGACTACAGGTGCATGCCACCATGTCAGGCTAGTTTTTAAATTTTTTGTAGAGATGGTGTCTCATTACACTGCCTAGGCTGGTCTTGAACTCCTGAGTTCAAGAGATCCTCCTGCCTCACTCAACCTCAAAAAGTGCTGGGATTACAGGTGTGAGCTGCCACGCCTCGCCTAGTCTCCTTTCATGATTTATCTTCCTCTCTTGAAGTTTCGTCATCTAAGATGCAAAGATATTCTGCTCATTTAAGTTATATTTCTGTCTATCTCTCCCCCTTAGGATATAAGCTTCAGGAGGGCAGGCATCTTTTCTGTCTATCACTGCTGTATCCCCAGCATCTAGAACAGAGCCTCGCACATAGTAGGTGCTCAAGAAATGTGTGTGGGCTAAATCTACCTTTTTGCTTATTTTAATTTTTTTTAGAGACCAGGTCTTATGCTGTCACCAAGGCTGGAGTGCAATGGTGCAACCCTGGCTCGCTGCAGCCTTGAACTCCTGGGCTCAAGCCTCCTACCTCAGCCTCTCGAGTACCTGGGACAACAAGCATGCACCACCATGCCCAGTTAATTTTGTGTGTGCGTGAGTGTGTGTGTGTGTGTGTGTGTGTGTGTGTGTGTGTTGGAGACAGAGTTTTGCTTTTGTTGCCCAGGCTGGAATGCAATGGCACAATCTCGGCTCACCATAACCTCCACCTTCCAGGTACAAGCGATTCTCCTGCCTCAGCTTCCCAAGTAGTTGGGATTACAGGCATGAACCACCATGACCGGCTACTTTTGTATTTTTAGTAGAGATGGGGTTTCTCCATGTTGGTTAGGCTGGTCTTGAACTCCTGACCTCAGGTGATCCGCCCACCTTGGCCTTCCAAAGTGCTGAGATTACAGGCATGAGCCACCACACCCAGCTTGTTTATATTTTGTGGAGACAAGGTCTCACTATGTTGAGGCTGGCCTCAAACTCCTGTCCTCAAGCAATCCTTCTGCCTCAGCCTTCCAATGTGTTGAGATTATAGGCATGAGCCACCATGCCTGGCCAAATTTACCATTATTAATAGGACTCAAGTTCTGTCATCAGTATCAGAACTGGGAAGTCCCTTAGAAGCACCCAGTTCATTGCTCCTGTTTTACAGACTGAGGCCCAGAGAAGAGCATGACTTACCCAGGGGTACAGAGTCTGAATTCTACCCCTCCCCAAGGTCCTGGCTTCTGTGTACATCCCTCTGTGTTGCTGATTGTGCTGGGACTCCCCAAAGTGGACCCGTGAATGCCTAGGGCCAGGGCGTCCCTGTCCCAGCCCCTATATCAGTACCTGATTCTTCAGCAGCCCATCCTCATAGTACCAGATGCAGCTGCCTCCAGCTCGGGGGTCAGAGACCACCACACGGCCTGCCTTCATGTCCTCCACATGATCCGGCACTGCCAGGAATCCCCCCAGTGCTGCATTCCAGAGTCGAAAATAAACCCGGCGCTGGTCGCAGAAAAAGGCTGAGAGTCAGGGGTGCCTGGATGGGATAACCTGAGCCCCTGATACCCTCAACTCTCCAGTATCAAGCTCCCAAGCCCTCCTTCCTGTCCCCAAACTTTCCTTGACTCTGTAAGTCACCCGTTCTTTACACGCACATTCAGAGAGCACATGCATCTCTCTCTCTCTCTCTCTCTCACACACACACACACACACACACACACACAGTTCCATGGTCGTAGAGATACCCACAGATGTGTGCAGAGGGACAAACTGACAGATACACCTCTGGTCCACATGGTGGCACAGAAGTTCACAGAAGACACAAACACATGAATACACGCAGCCATCCAACTCACATGTCCTAACCAAAGATCCGTGCAGTCTACTCCATACCAGGCACTTCTGTTTGCTACAAGGATGGATGTGTGTGGGAATACAAATGTGCACACACCTGTGTTGAAGAGGGTTCCTGATGAGGTGGACACTGGACTGGCAGACATCAGACATGGCTCTGCCATAAATTGGCTGTGCTTAGATGGT